TAGTAACATCTAATCTTCCGCATCAATTTTCCTTGTTTGTAGTCGTATGTCATCGTGTTGACCTCGCCCTATTTCAGTGGTTACGGGTGCATTTTCAGTGGAGGATCTTGAATGTGTGGTCTACCTGGGTGTCCCTGAGTAGAGCCGGGGTGGAGGAGGACGTGTGGTCTGTAAGAGTATGGGGCGATGTGGGGTGCCAGGTAATCCCGTAGACAGGGGGTGCGTAAGAGTAGGTGCAGGGTAGTGGGATGGTGGGGGAGGGTGCGCTTCACTCCTAAAAATCGCTCTTCTTGTGAGAAAACCGTAATAACACAATAATAAAGATAAATTCTAGCCAATGGGGTATGTAAAGCCAATCGAGTTGTCTCAAATTAGGTAGCTGTGGTTTAATATAGAACTAGAAGAAGCACACAGTGGATTATCATCCGGGGTGTTACAGTAGGCCATGTGTGATCCACATATACGAGTAATAAAAGTTTGTTATATTTGTTGTTAGCAGACAACCGCGGAAGATATTTTGCCAAGCCTTTAACATTGTCAACTGCAAAACAGACGAGAAGAATTCAGAAAGTGATGCCTCTTATTCCTACACCCCTCCCCCTCCCCTATCAGTAATGAAGATAGAAACACTTCAAACACCACAAAATTCTCAAAAGTGAACAGCTGCATCAATCCGTTCAAGTAACAATAATAAAAATGGCAACCGTCAGTCCCTGGGGGAGGGGGGGGGTTGGCCTTGGAGATGTTCTCCTGGCTTTGGCAACAGCATCTGCTGTGACTGTAAAGTCCAACGTGGGAGTGGCAGTCTCTGCCCCCCGCCCCCACAAATACACGCACGCACGCACACGTAACACACACACACACAAAAGATACTCCCTCGCTAGGAGGCTGATTTTCTCCCGGCGTCCCCTCTCTAAAGCTCGATGCGTTTTGTTTCTTTCAAAATACGACAATCCATCTTTCACTTTTTGTCGCCATGGTAGTCGATCTGCAGCTGATTTTTGCCAAGTCTCTACGCCTATGTTGGTATCTATCAGGTCCCGTTTGCATATGTCTTTACAGCGTTGCTTTTTGGCCTTTCTGTAGGTCTATTCCCTGTTTCCAGTTCATCATACCGGAGGTCCAAAGGAATACGACCATCCTTCATGCGGCTGAAATGTCCCAATCAACGCAGGCGTCTTTGCTTCAGTAGACAGTACATTTATGATATTTTTGTTTTTGTGAGTACACATTCGTTGGAGACAAAGTCTTGCCATAATATATCAAGGATGCGCCCCATACAGCGCATGTGTAAGGTATTCAGTCTCTTTTCTGGAGGAGAATATAGAGTCCAGGATTCGCTAACGTACAGTAGCGTGCTCAAGACACGAGACATACATTTTCATTTTCGTTTGTGCAGACTCTCTAAGTGAGATTTGAAAACATTGCAGTTGCCTTTCCAATATAACTGTTTATCTCTGCATCTTGGGAATGATCACCTCAGATTCGTGAACCTAGGCACACAACCTCATGTACAGCCAACAGCTGATGGTCACAAACACTAATGGTTGGCTGTCATTACTGAATGTCCTAGAAGAAGCAGGACGATTAAAAACAATATGAGGTGATGACTGGAATAGCTAACTTAAAAAGACTTTAAGAATAGCAAGATAAAGGGGCTACTGCCAGGAAACATCACTTTGCAGGAGGGCATAGAGTAGTAAGTGAACAGAGAGCTGGATTCGTTGGTCGCTACATGCCCATAAATATACTGAGACGCTATAGTAAAGTAAAGGACCCATTTCCATGCCTTCAGGCGTATTGGACACATAGGGCTAAACCTTTATTTTATAGACTAATCAGCATTTGGTGGGTGATGTGATCAGCATCACACCGACCGCCTTTACTTCACAGGAATCACCTGCTACCCACTCAAGGCTGGGTCGACCTGGGAGCCAAGATCATTCTTGAAAAAAGTCTGCCTTTTTCAGGACTTGAACTCACGACGTTCCGATCAGCAGGCGAACGTCTAGCCGCTACACTACGGCGACACTCGAGGAGCTATATACTACTGATAAGAAGTTTTGAAGTGCTGTAAGAATGATATGTTTTTCTGTTAGTATTTCAGTTACATATGCATGTGGTATTTTTTTAATACTTTAATAACATACATGAGTAAAATTTATATGCATACAGCCGAAGAAAGGGATTACCAGGTAAAACTTACCATCACTGCTTGCCGTAGATACCCCACTGGCTGAGTATCCATCCTTGACCGATTCACATTTCGAGGAGACTGAGTCCATGCGAGCTTGGTGGTAGTCATTGAAGACGTCATCTTTCTCCCTGGCAGCTAGAGCCATCAGCCCCATCGCTGAAGGGTGAGGCAGGGGTTCGGGCTCCGCTTTTGAGTGCCGCCAGTGTTTAGGGTTTAGAGCACGGCTGAAGCGAAGTACTTTGTCCATTTTGGTACTTTTCTGCTTTCTGTCAATTACTCTGTTGAATATGTTGCAATGTGAGCAGATAATGAAGCATAGAAAACGTCTGCATTTCTAACAACAAAACATAAATAAAAACCTCAATAAATAAAAGCACTCTTAAGCAAGTAAGCGTCCTTTTCATGCCATTGGAGCACCGGGGCATGTGGTATTGGACACATATATCTTTAGGCAGACAGACATTAGATGGAATTTGCAGTTAATATCTAGTCAGCCTCCGATACTTGCAATGTAATGGGTCCATTAAAAAAAAAAACTCGACATGAAGACATCCATGATGAATATGGAGGTTGAGGCGATAACTGCAGCGTTCGGGTGCAGCGGAGAGTGTCTGCGAGCTCTGGAAACCACTTGAGACTTGGGAAAAAGCAAGGCGAGTAGTTAACCGGATGGTAACGGGTATCACCAGTATGGACGCTATTCGCTAGCTATTGAGGATGGAGACGTAGCTATGGTGGGCTCTTCCTGAATGCTGTAATGACGAATCTTTACCAAGATGAATCGAGATTTTTTTTAACCCACCTAGACTAGATTCGAAACCAAGACTTTTGGCCCGACAGGCAAGCCAGCAAGTGACTTCTTATCATGATACAGCCATAACAGCTGACACAAGAAGTTTTGTAGGAATCGAACAAGAATCAGACCATATACAAAAGTAGTCCACTGCAAGATGAGAACAATAGCATATTCACCAATTTAAAAAAAACACCATTGCAAAAACGTTCAATTATTATCACCATTTTTGTGGTGGAAATGGTGGGGGGGGGGGGGGGGAAAGACTATTTTAGGGGGGGGGGGGAGGGGGGGAAGAATAAGAGAGAATAAATTATGTGCATGATTTCTACAATCTTGACTTTTACATTGATTTATACTAAAGGTTTTTGCTTTTTTTTTAAAATTAACTTTTAAAGTGTTGAAATAGAACTTGATTACTATTATGTTTTACGATGCCGTACGGACGAGGCGAGCAGACACCGCCGTACGTACGACGCCGCACAGACAATGCTGAACGGACGCCGCCACACGGTCGACGCCAGACAGACGCCGCCGGACGGACGCCGCCGTACGGACGCCGCCGGACGCATTTGCAGGATAAACGAAGCCGTACGTACGACGCCGCACAGACGATGCTGAACGGACGCCGCCGGACAGACGCAGCCAGACAGACGCCTCCGGACGGATGCCGCCGAACGGACGTCGCCGGACGGATGACGCCGCACGGACGACGCCGGACGGACGCCGCCCCACGGACGACGCCGCACAGACGATGCTGAACGGACGCCGCCGCACGGTCGACGCCGGACGGACGCCGCCGCACGGACGCCGCCGGACGGACGCCGCCTGACGCACGCCGCCGTACGGACGTCGTCGGTCGGACGCCGATTTACACAGACGATGCTGAACGGACGCCGCTGCACGGTCGACGACGGACGGACGCCGCCGCACGGACGCCGCCGGACAAACGCCGCCGAACGGACGTCGAAGGACGGACAACGCCGGACGGACTTGCAGGACAGACGACGCCAGGCGGACGACGCAGCACCGACCTGCACGAGAGACGACGCCAGACGGACGACGCCGGACGGACGACGCCGGATGGACGACGCCGCACGGACGACGCCGCACGGACGAAGCCGTACGGACGAAAACGAACAGACGCCGCCGTACGTACGACGCCGCACAGACGATGCTGAACGGACGCCGCCGCACGGTCGACACTGGACGGACGCCACCGGACGGACGCCGCCGGACGGATGCCTCCGGACGGACAACGCTGGACGGACTTGCAGGACAGACGACGCCAGACAGACGACGCAACACCGACTTGCAGGGGAAACGACGCCAGACAGACGACGCCGGACGGACGACGCCGGACGAACGACGCCGCACGGACGACGCCGCACCGACTTGCAGGAGAGACGACGCCAGACGGACGACGCCGGACAGACGACGCCGGTCGGACGACGCCACACAGACGACGACGCACGGACGACGCCGGACGGACGACGCCCGACGGACGACGCCGCACAGACGACGCCGTACGAACGACGCCGAACGGACGCCGCCGTACGTACGACGCCGCACAGACGATGCTGAACGGACGCCGCCGCACGGTCGACAACGGACGGACGCCGCCGTACGGACGCCGCCAGACGGACGCCGCCAGACGAACGCCTCCGGACGGACGCCTCCGAAGGGGCGCCGCCGAACGGACGTCGCCGAACGGACAACGCCGGACGGACTTGCAGGACAGACGACGCCAGACGGACGACGCCGCCGGACGGATTTCCAGGATAAACGACGCCGTACGTACGACGCCGCACAGACGATGCTGAACGGACGCCGCCGGACAGACGCAGCCAGACAGACGCCTCCGGACGGGTGCCGCCGAACGGACGTCGCCGGACGGATGACGTCGCACGGACGACGCCAGACGGACGCCGCCCCACGGACGCTAGACGGACGACGCAGCACCGACTTGCAGGAGAGACGACGCCAGACGGACGACGCCGGACGGAAGACGCCGGACGGACGACGCCGCATGAAGGACGCCGCACGGACGACGCCGCACGGACGACGCCGCACGGACGACGCCGTACGGACGACGCCGAACGGACGCCGCCGTACGTACGACGCCGCACAGACGATGCCGGACGGACGCCGCCGGACGAACGCCGCCGGACGGACGCTTCCGGACGGACGCCTCCGGACGGACGCCGCCGAACGAACGTCGCCGGACGGACAACGCCGGACGGACTTGCAGGACAGACGACGCCAGGCGAACGACGCAGCACCGACTTGCACGAGAGACGACGCCAGACGGACGACGCCGGACGGACGACGCCGGACGGTCGACGCCGGACGGACGCCGCCGCACGGACGCTGCCGAACGGACGCCGCCTGACGCACGCCGCCGTACGTACGACGCCGCACAGACGATGCTGAACGGACGCCGCCGCACGGTCGACGCCGGACGGACGTTGCCGGACGGACGCTGCCGTGCGGACGCCCCCGGACGGACGCCTCCAGACGGACGCCTCCGGACGGACGCCGCCGAACGGACGTCGCCGGACGGACAACGCCGGACGGACTTGCAGGATAGACGACGCCAGACGGACGACGCAGCACCGACTTGCAGGAGAGACGACGCAGGACGGACGACGCCGCACGGACGACGCCGCACGGACGACGCCGCACGGACGACGCCGTACGGACGACGCCGAACGGACGCCGCCGTACGTACGACGTCGCACATACGACGCCGGACGGACGCCGCCGGACGGACGCCGCCGGACGGATGCCGCCGGACGGACGCTTCCGGACGGACGCCTCCGGACGGACGCCGCCGAACGGACGTCGCCGGACGGACAACGCCGGACGGACATGCAGGATAGACGACGCCAGACGGACGACGCAGCACCGACTTGCAGGAGAGACGACGCCAGACGGACGACGCCGGACGGACGACGCCAGACGGACGACGCCGCACAGACGACGCCGCACAAGCGACGCCGCACGGACGACGCCGGACGGACGACGCCGCACGAACGACGCCGCACGGACGACGCCGCACGGACGACGCCGCACGGACGACGCCGAACGGACGCCGCCGTACATACGACGCCGCACAGACGATGCTGAACGGACGCCGCCGCACGGTCGACGCCGGACGGACGCCGCCGGACAGACGCCGCCGTACGGACGCCGCCGGCCGGACGCCGCCGAACGGACGCCACCGGACGGACGCCTCCGGACGCCTCCGGACGGACGCCGCCGAACGGACGTCGCCGGACGGACAACGCCGGACAGACTTGCAGGATAGACGACGCCAGACGGACGACGCAGCACCGACTTGCAGGAGAGACGACGCCAGACGGACGACGCCGGACGGACGACGCCGGACGGACGACGCCGCACGAAGGACGCCGCACGGACGACGCCGCACAGACGACGCCGTACGGACGACGCTGAACGGACGCCGCCGTACGTACGACGCCGCACAGACGATACTGAACGGATGCCGCCGCACGGTCGACGCCGGACGGACGCCGCCGTACGGACGCCCCTGGACGGACGCCGCCGGACGGACGCCTCCGGACGGACGCCTCCGGACGGACGCCGCCGAACGGACGTCGCCGGACGGACAACGCCGGACGGACTTGCAGGACAGACGACGCCAGACGGACGACGCAGCACCGACTTGCAGGAGAGACGATGCCAGACGGACGACGCCGGACGGACGACGCCGGACGAACGACGCCGCACGGACGACGCCGCACGGACGACGCCGCACGGACGACGCCGTACGGACGACGCCGAACGGACGCCGCCGTACGTACGACGCCGCACAGACGATGCTGAACGGACGCCGCCGCACGGTCGACGCCGGACGGACGCCGCCGTACGGACGCCGCCGGACGGACGCCGCCGGACGGACGCCTCCGGACGGACGCCTCCGAACGGACGTCGCCGGACGGACAACGCCGGACGGACTTGCAGGACAGACGACGCCAGACGGACGACGCAGCACCGACTTGCAGGAGAGACGACGCCAGACGGACGACGCCGGACGGACGACGCCGGACGAACGACGCCGCACGGACGACGCCGCAGGGACGACGCCGCACGGACGACGCCGGACGGACGACGCCGCACGGACGACGCCGCACGGACGACGCCGTACGGACGACGCCGAACGGACGCCGCCGTACGTACGACGCCGCACAGACGATGCTGAACGGACGCCGCCGCACGGTCGACGCCGGACGGACGCCGCCGCACGGACGCCGCCGGACGGACGCCGCCGGACGGACGCCGCCGGACGGACGCCGCCGGACGGACGCCTCCGGACGGACGCCGTCGAACGGACGCCGCCGGACAATCCCTGCCGGACAGACCCTTCCAGACGGACGACGCCAGATGTACGACGCGGGTTGGACGACGCCAGACCTTCTTCTTCTTGTCTTGGGACTCTAAAGTGTCTTTTGCTGCTGAAGA